AATGGAGAACTTTGCTGATGATAACACAAGCTATAACACTATTCATCACTCACATATTAGTGCAGCACACGTTCATCTCAGAATCATAGAATCTCTACAGTGTGGAAGCTGGCCTTTCAGCCCAGCGAGTCCAAACTGACCCTGAGAAGAGCATCCCATCCAGATACAACAGCCCCCAACCTTATCCCTGCATTTCCCATGGTTAATCCACCCAGCCTGCACATCCCTGGACTCTATGTAAAGTTTAGCACGGCCAATCCACCGAACCTGTACATCTTTCCACTGTGGAAGGAAACTGAAGCACTGGGAGGAAACTCACACAGACATGATGAGAATTTGGAAACTCCTCACCGACAGTGGCCTGAGACTGGAATTGAACCCAGATCGCTGGAGCTGTAAGGCAGCAATGCATATGCAATATGACCTGGGTAACAACAAGGCTTTGGCTGCAATGCGAAAGATAGTATTTGTGCAAGGCAAGTGCCAATGAACTTTTCTAACAAGAGTGAAGCTAGCGTCCTTGACTTCCAAACCAGGTACAAGAAAGATAGCTTCACTGTCACTAGATTTTCAACACAGTGATCTTAAAACATTTAATGACCCACAAAACTGCTCAATTATTCCTAACCAGACTTTACAAATGACAAATGTTGGACACCAAGTTTAGAATTGAAACAAAATTTAACAATTTAGTCTAAATATAACTTTAGCACAGCACCGATAATCTACAAGGCAATATAATTAATATTTACAATCTAAACCCAATCTTCTTTGAATGTAGACACCCCCACACTCTGATAAATACAGACAGACACAGTTCTTGAGTTTCAACAATGAATACCGAGCCTTGATGAAGTCCATGAACAATGGGTTGTGTTAGAGGTATACACGACTGTTATCTTACTTGAATTCCAAAGTCATCAGTCAGTGCAAACAGCTTATGCATGTCTATGGAGAATTTTATTGATTTGTTGCAGACTGGAGTTCTTTTTTCGGAACTTTCAACAAGTTAATAATTGGGAAATAACTAGAGAGAGCTAAACCAAAAATAATCAGTTTCCCAGTCCAGCAGCTTCTAAAGCAAAATATGCCTCGTTCCAAAAAAAAAGACAAGTCAGAGCCAATTCACTCTGCGATTCCTCTTTCCTCTTTCATTGTCAATATTGTCTGTGGTTGGCTGGCCATGCTCCTTTGGTTAACCATATCAACGTCCAACCAGCTGCCAGTCTCTGAGCATAACGACATTTCAGTGCCAAATTATCCACAATGCCCTTACAGTTATAATTAACTTGCATTATCATTCGATGCCAGTTCCCAACAGAAAACATCAGTCTTTTGTTCTCTCTGCTTAAAAACAGAAACCTGATTTCAAATTTCAATTATCAAATGCAACTCATACTTCCAAACCAGATATAAGAAAGATAAAAGAACGTCTAACAGGTTTGCAACACGTTCAAGAGCATGAATCCTCATTATTACACAGCTGTTACAAAAGGTGAGAAATAATGTAACTTCTGTCGTCACATGAGCTGGTCAGAGGCTATAACTACTGTGAAAAGTAGCTTTCTTATTCCGAAATGTATGTTCCCCCCTTTATAGTACATGTCCCTATGACTCTATGTACATTCCAAGGTAGGATGGGATACTGTCCATTTGCCTCAATTAATGAAACTCAAAGAATGCTCAAGAAACTAGGAACCATCCAGGACGAAACATTCCACTTCAACATTCATTTTCTTCATCACTGATTCATCGTGACAACAGTGTGTTATAACTCCAAGAAGAACGTCAGCAAGTCACCAAGGATTCAGTCTGTCACCAACCTTTACAAACTTGAAGAAAGGGTAGCTCATACATGGAATTATGCCACCTACAATTCACCCTACAACCACACATGTTTTTAACTTGCAGCTGCGTTCATTCCTCCATTTTGCTGATTTAAAGTCCTTTATCTAACAACATCGAAGGTGTAGCTCAACCATATGATTTGCAACTGTTCAGAAAGGAAGCTCACCAGAAACCTTTTTTTTGCAATTACTTGCAGGAGACAATGGCTGGGTCAGAGTTTCACGCCATCACTAGTTACCCCTTGAGAATGTGGTACTGAGCTGCGTCCTTGAACTGCTTCAGCACATGCTGCAGGTTGATCTACAATGACATGAGGGACAGAATTCCAGGATTATGGAAGGGCTACACTAAAGGAACAGCGATATATTTCCAAGTCAGTATAGTGAGTGTCTTGGAGGGGAATTCGCAGGTGGTGGTATCATGTTTTGCAGGTAATTAGAGATTGGCAATAATTTTTCTTCTAGCAAATGACACGGACAAACTGTGAACACACAAAACAAAAAAGAATATTGGGGAAAATAGGCAGATTTGAGACAGGAAATTGAAACAAAAATTATTTGACTCAGTACTAAAAATAGTACTGGGACAACTATTGGGACAAAGGCTAAAAAAAACTGCTGAGCATGAACAGTACTGATGAAGAGTCACTGAACTCAAAATGTTAACGCTGCTTTCTCTCTCCACAGATGTTGCCACACCAGCTGAGCTTCTACAGCAATTTATGTTTTTGTTTCAGATCTTCATCATCTGCAGTTCTGAGGAAGTGTCACCGGACACTTAATATTAACTCTGATTTTTTTTAACAGATGCTGCAAGACCTGCTGAGCTTTTCCAGCAACTTCTGTTTTTGCTCCTGATTTACAGCATCTTCAGGCCTTTCAGTTTTTTTTTTATTTGCAGTTCATTGTTTAATTTTATACATCATAGAATAAATGGCTTCAGAGTTATTGATTATTTTCTTGAAAATATCCGACATTATTGAAGAATCACAGCTCACAGGAGTACAGAAAAATAGCTTTTAAATTTTGTAAAGGACGGAAAGAGTGGAGGGGAGGAAAGAGAGAAGGCAGAAGACTCTATCATAGTTAGATTACCCTACATCTTTGGAAAATGATGAATTCAATTATTAATAGTTATTTAAGAACCTTAATTTGATTAGGTAGAGTCAACATGGTATTATGAAAGGGACAAAGTCATTTGATTCTTTGTTGAGAATGTAGCAAGCAGTATTATAAATAGAAAGGATTAGATATGGTGCATTTACATTGTTGTCAGTGTTGATTAGCTCAGTTGGCTGCATTGAATACAGACTGGTGCCAATAAAACTCTCATACTCAATGCCACACTTGATAAAGGCAAGTCTCCTGCATGCCTTCTTAACCTGTACTGCCAGCTTCAGGGATCTGTGGATAAGCACCCCAAGATCCCTCTGTTCATCTGAGCTTCATAGTGCCCTGCCATTCGTTGAGTACTCCCTTATCTTGTTACTTCTTTCAAACTTCATCACCTCACACTTCGCAGTATTAATTTCCATCCGCCACTGATCTGCCCATCTGAAGAATCCATCAATACCCTCCTGTCATCCAAGATCTTTTTCCTCGCTGTCAAACAGCTGGCTAATAATCATGACATCTGTAAACCTGCCATCATTTACCCGTAAACACTGAGGCATTGTGAAGGCTATCCAATACGTCAAAGTGATAATTAGCTGTTTGTTAAAAAAAAACAACATAGAGGTATGGAATGAAAAGCCACGTAGATTATGGTTATCATTAGGAATTTTTGGGTCCTGTTTGGTAGAGAGAAATCTAGGGATTTTGTTGAAGAATGCAGTACAGAGGATATGCAAGAAATTCAGTTGAATGATACCACAGATGTAAGATATCAGTGAGGTGTAGAAAACAGAAGAGCTTTCCTTAGATAGAAGAATGTTAACGATGATTTAGAATCATAGAATCATAAAATCAGTCCTTCAAGTTCATACCACCAGACTCCATTTGCTAAATCAACACTGATCCCACTTACCCACACTGAACCCGTAGCGTTGAGTGCAATGACAGTTCAAGTGTCCATTCAAGTACTTTTTGAAAGTTGTGACTTCTCCCGCCTGAACTACATTCCCAGGCAGTGCATTCCAGGTATCCACCTCCCTCCAGATGAAAAAAGTTCTCCTCATCCTCTTTAAACTTAAGCGTTTCACCTTAAAATATAGCTCCTCGCTTTGAGTGGTGATGGCCTACTGGTATTATCGCTGGACTGTTAATCCAAAGACCCAGGTAACGTTCTTGGGAGTGGGGCTCAAAACCCTCCATAGCACATGGTGGAATTTGAATTCAGTAAAAATATCTGGAATTAAGAATCTAATGATGACCATGAATCCATTATCGATTGTCATGGGAAAAAAAACCATCTGGTTCGCTGATGCCCTGTAGCAAAGAAAGCTGCCATCTTTACTTGGGTCTGGCCTACGTGTGACTCCACAGCCCTAGCAATGTGGTTGACTCGGGATAATAAATGTCGCCTAGCCGTCGAAGCCCTTGTTCTGTTGATTAAAAAATGATGCTTTAGCTAATGTTTATTCAGGATGTTAACAATTTTTCGTACTTATAATCGAAAGACTGAAGGAAAATGGTTGCTGGTGCAGAAGCATAGGGACCTAAATTATTCACAGACTGAGGATCTTTGCCAACGATAGCATGAGACAAACTGCCGATGATTGCCAATGATAGCACAAGGAAAAATATTACTGCATAATGAATTGTCATGATCAGGAATATGTGACAGGAGAGAGAGGTGAAAGCAGTTTCACTCGTAAACTTGAAAGGAAATTCAATGAACGCTTGAAGGGAAAATAGTGAAACGATAAACGGGGGAGAGCAGGCATGGTTTGATTGTTTCATTAACCTATGTTTTGAATCAACCTGTTCGAAGATGTTATTATGCACTTCCGGAAGCGATGGAAATAGAACCCGGTCTTCCAGGTTTAGGAGTAGGAACATTAACATCGCGCCAAAAGGGAGCCCAACCTATTATTTCCCCAAAACTCTACAGCAAACATTACAGGATGGATGGTCTCATTTAGTACTCTATCACCCAGTCACTCTACTTCACACCCCAACTGTGTCACATGCTCCTTTTTTGTATTGTTTCAGGATCATCGAGATGAATTGATTGTTAGATCCCTGAACTGTATCGCAAGATCAACAGGATCGTGAAAAGCAACAGACATACATCGCAGGGAGAAAAACCATTAGTCCAGAAAAAAGAAACCCAGAAAAAGAGGCAATGCATGCTTTAATTTGTATTGTGCTACTATCTCTGAATGTGGACTGTAAGTATTCCAAATTGCGTTGGGAGTAACGGGAAAGTTCATTGTTGATGTTTATGGTTTTCGACAGTGTAGTATAGTAATTGTAACGAAGTCAGCCCCAGATGGACTTCATAGAATATGCATCCCTTGATTGGGGCTGTTAAGTTGGGAGCCCTGGCTGACATATAAAAAGGGGAGTGTCAGAGATACTGACAGTCTGGTAACTGACACTGTATGAGACAATACTAAAGTCAATGACTGTACATGCATAAATAAATGGTGACGTGGTGATGGATACTGTGGAGTTAATTCAGAAAGTCAGTTCAGCTTCTCCAGCTGGACAAGGAAAATATAATGGACAGGCATTTCACGTGAAAATGTCTCATGGGAACGTACTGGGCCAATCAGACTGAAAGTCGTATTACTCAGCAACAGAGCTGGCATATCAGACTTTTCTGACTGATTGCATAGGACTAGGAATGGCCCATCAGGCTGCCTGTGCTGGAGGTATTGAACAGTTCTGGCCTGTACTCTCTGAAGATTAGAAGAATGAGAAGAGATCTAATTGATACGCATAAGACAAAGTGGACCAAGAGAGGATGTTTCCTCATGTGGGACAATCTACAACGGGAGGTCATAGTTTTAGGATAAAAGGTAGCAGATTTAAAACAAAGATGAGAGGAAATTAGAGATAAAAAGGTGTACAGCTGGATGAACACAACAGGCCAAGCAGCATCAGAGGAGCAGGAAGGCTGAAGGGTCTAGGCCCGAAACGTCAGCCTTCCTGCTCCTCTGATGCTGTTTGACCTGCTGTGTTCATCCAGCTCTACACCTTGTTATCTCAGATTCTCCAGCATCTGCAGTTCCTACTATCTCTGAGAGGAAATTACTTCTCTTGAAGTGTCGTGAATCTGTGGAATTCATTCCCCCAAGAGTGTGGTAGATGCTGGGAATGTGAGTAAACTTAAGAATAAGTTAGATTTTTAATTAGTAATGTGTTGAAGTGTTATGGAGAGCGGGCAGGAGAGTGGAGTAGATGCCAAAATGAGATTAGTTATGTAGATATAGAGCAAATAGAATCCAGCAATAAAAGCTGGCTCGCCAGCGATGCCCACATCCCACAAGAGCAGATTCGAAGGTCTGAATGGCCGAATCCTGTTCCCATCTCCTGCAGCCTTATCTTCAATTGATGACTCGAAACTCCATTCAATTTCTTTATCTCAATTAACTTTATCGAATTCAAACTGGCAGATATCAGTATGGATTCGGATTAATACAATTAATTAAGTGAATACATGGATTTTAGTCCACTTTGCATCAAAATTTAAGGCCATAAGAAATAAGAACAGATATAGGTCATTTAGCCCCACGAGCCTGCTCCGCCGTTATATAGAACCTTGGCTGATCCCACATTAGTTGTATTCACTTTCCTGCCTTTCCCTGTACTCTTGATTCCCCGACTGATCAAGGATCTATCTATCTCATCTTAAATGTACATAAAACACTATCCCTGCAGCTCTCTGTGAGAAGGAGTTCCAAATACTCCCAACCATCTGAGAGAAGAAACTCTTCCTCATTTCAGTCTTAAATTTTTGTCACTTTATTCTGGGACTATGTCCTCTGGTCCTAGAGTCCCTGGTGAAGTGAACCATCCTCTCAGCATTTCCTCTGTTAAGGTCGTTAAGAACGTTATACGTTAAATCAAATCACCTCTCCTTTTTCTAAACTTCAATGAGTAAAGTTTTAGCCTGCTTAAACTTTGCTCATAGGGCTATCCCTTCATACCAGAAATCTTCCCACTGAACATTCTCTGAACTGCCTCCAATGAAGCAAATCTGCTCTCAGTACTCCAGACGTGGTCTCATCAGCACCTTGTACAGTTGCAGTAAGACGTGGCTTCCCTACTCTTATAATCCATAGCATATTCTGTTCGTGTTTGTTAGAAGTTTTCAACATACAAAATTCTTTGCTTTATTACAGTCTGAAATATTTGCTCAGGGACTGCGTAATTACATAGGATTAAAAAGTTGGTACTGAAAAGGTGCGGAACCCTGAACCCTCAGATTGAACATCTGTGGCTCTACTTGAGCTATTCAGGCTTTCCAAAATCATACCTCAAAGTCTGACATAAAATGTTTAAAAATTAACACTGAAGCAGTGAGTTCCTGTCTTCATTACATCTGTATACTTTCTATATGAGGACTGTGTATCTGGTCACCAAGTCTCATTCTTCCCACACAAACGCCAATTACAAGTGTTTGCAAGTAGAAAATGTCTTATTTATGTATCAGGTACAAAGTTAATTACTTCACTCTAACACTGACTAAAGTCCGCCTGTTAAAGTTATTTCTCTTTTAATGTACTCTGCCTCTGACTCCCCTATAACTTTCTACTCTCGTTTCTACTTCTACCTGCCCCCCGCCACCCCAACCTGTTGTCAGCATCAAACTTTGTGATGAACGTATTTATCAAGAAATGGAAATCGGCTACAATGATGAGTCACTGGACTCGAAACATTAACTCTGTTCTCTTCCCACAGAAGCTGCCAGGCTTGCTGAGTTTCTCCAGCAAGTTCTGTTTTTGTTTCAGATCTCTATCCTCCGTACATCTTTCTATTTTGAGGGTATTATTTAATTGTTTCATCTATGTTTCTTCTCTTCCTAATACTTGCATAATTCTCTTTCGATAGTTGCTGTTGACGATGTTTTCACTGACCTTTCAGTTACTGTTGTGCCATTCACGACTATTTGGTATGCAATAAAGACCTTCTGCCTGTTGCTCCTGCTCATTTTGTGAATGACATTAAATCCATCCTTTCTGATGACTAATCCTTCTTCCCCTTGAAATGGATTCATCTGCACATTCTCCCTATGTCTGCCCAAGTTTACTTTGGTTGCTCCCACAGTCCAAAACCATGCAGGTTAGTTGGATTGCCCATGCTGAAATTGCCCCACAGTGTCCAGTAATGAGCAGGCTGTGTGGGTAGTGCAGAATTGCGGGTGGGTCTTGTTGATATGGTGTTAGGAGGGTTAGTACAGACTCAATGGGCCGAATAGCCCTTTTCTGCACTGTACAGATTTTATGACTCTATGATTTGCTCAAAGTAATTCACAATTTTGAATAGATCTTTTATGTCTGTCCTGAAGCAATTTCTAGTCCATAAAATAAAACATCAGCGTTTCAAGATATCCACCTAACAGAATTATTTCAGACCTAGTTAATCTCCTTTGTGCCCTCATCACAAATTCAGTCTTCGAGCTCAGGTATGACGGGCGTTTAGATTCAAAGCCATTTCATTTTACTTTGGTAAGAGTAATCTTCAGCGAAACATCTTGAATGCCATCGAAAATGTCTCCATAGATAATATGTCCTATTAGTTATTTTAATGGAGTCTGTAGTTAAATAAATTGATTTCATCGGTCACAGCCACACTTCATGAACCCATGCTGACCGTCTCCGAGAGCTTATGTATTCTGTGCCTGATGATATATTCTAACTTCACATCCAGTCTCTGACTGACTAATGAATTGTGATTGACAAACCTTATTGTCTCCCAGAGTATGGGAATGATTGTCCATTTACTCCATTTTTTTTTGGGAATGACATTCGTCCAGACAAGTGATGAACGTTCCACCATATGCCTGGCTTGTGCCTTACACATTAGACAGTTTTCAGGCGAGCAGGTTCCGAGTTGGTGGTCTCGTGGTATTATTACTGAGCAGCGGATCCATATACCTATTTCATTACCTGTGTTTGAATCCTGACCATAGTAAATGCTGAATTTGAAATCAATTTTCAAAAAAAAAATCATTTACTTCGAGTCTAATGATGACTATTATTCATTGTTAGGAAAAGCCTATCTCATTCAGTAATGCCCTTTTAGGAAAGGAAACTGCCATCCATACCTAATGTGACTCCAGACCCACAGCAATGTAACTGACTCTTAACTGCTCTCTGGTAGATTGGGAATTGGCAATAAATGTTGGCCCAGCCAATCACGCTCTCATTCTGTGAATGAACAGAAGGTGAATTACAATAGCGGAGCTCCCAGCATCTGATTTGCTCCTGTACCCACAGTATGTCTTTTCCAAGGGTTATTGACAGAGCGGGATTCAGTGAATATCACAGTGATGGACTGGAAGGGAGAGTTCATAGGTGACATTTGGCTCATGAAGTCTGCACTGAGCACTAACATGTAATCCAACATGGGGTTTTTAACTATGACTAACAGACATAACCTGCACATTTTTGGATTGAGTCAGAAGTCACAGGACACTAGATTTATTTGAAATCACAAGCGTTCAGAGCGGTGCCTCTTTATCACTTCACTTGATTTCAAGTAAACCTGTTGTCAGGTGACTTTTGACTTTCGTCCAAAGCCAGGACCTCCACATCTTTAGACTGTCAGAGAAAACTGAAGCACCCAACAGAAACCCACACAGACACGGACAACATAAAAATCTCCATGCAGAGAAATAGCCAAGGCTGGAATTGAACCGCCCCCCTAATCTTTGGAAGCAGTAGTGCGAATCACTGTGCCACTGCCCCATCCGGGGGACGGGAAAAAGAAGCAGAAATTGGTTGCCATTTGTGGGGGGAGGGGTGGGGGCCGGGTGCTGACGGTGTAGGAGTAACTTGCATGTATTTGAAGGGAAATTGTATAATCAGAATAAGGAAAAGGGGCGACACTCCAGCCCCACCTCACCTGGCACTTTTCCCTGCAACAGCAGGAAGTGCTACACCTGCCGCTACACCTCCCCCCTCATTCCCATCTCAGGCCCCAAGAAGACTTTCCACATCAAGCAGATGCTCACCTGAACATCTGCTAATGTGGTATACTGCATCCGCTGTTCCCGTTGTAGCCTCCTCTACATCGGGGAAACCAAGCGGAGGCTTGGGGACCGCTTTGGGGAACACCTACGCTCGGTTCGCACTAAACAACTGCACCTCCCAGTCGCGAACCATTTCAACTACCCCTCCCATTCCTCAGACGACATGTCCATCCTGGGCCTCCTGCAGTG